GTTTTCCTCACATCAACATCATGCCCAGCTCTTCTAGGGTAGGGTAGGTGCCTGAGCCAGAGCTTGCAGCTCACAAGACTGTCATTCCTATTAGCTCCCTTGGATCGGGGATGGCAGACCAGAGAGGCCTAGTTTGTGGCTAGGCCTGGGGACAGTTGGTCCCAAAGATGAGGGGGTACTTGTGCCTCCTCCCATGGCAGACTTAGGTCTCAGACACTCCCTAAAGAGGGAGCCAAGGTCGGGCCACCACTTGGAAAAGGCCCGGGCCGGGAGAATACCAGTGAATCTTTAATAATAATAATAATAATAATAATAATAATTTTCCCTGAGGTATGTTTATTGTCTTCTCTAAGGATGAAGGTCCCCAGTAAAGTTCTAGAGGTGGTACCTCCCTATACATAAATATCTCATATTTGAGAATGCAGCCATGTTGTTGTTGATGTTTTATAGCCACTGACAGCGTACGCTGTGGATAAATTAGGACACATGTGCAACTCTTGGGATCTTATTGGAAACGTTTCGCCTCACGTGCTTCTCAGTTCCTCAAAGGAGAATCTTGAAGAACAGGAGGAGAATTCTAATCAAGTCCTCAACCTTGATCGATGTGGTCAGTCCATAAATCTTGAATAGATTGAATGGACTTGACCACATCGACTCAGGTTGAGGATGATTACTCATTAACCCTCCTGTTCTTCAAGATTCTCCTTTGTATGGACTGATGAAGCCACTGTGTGGCGAAACGTTTCCTCAATAAAGATACCCAAGAGTTGCACATTTGTCTAATTTATCAACATGTCGGTTCTCTGAACCATTCATCTACAAAGCGTACGCTGTATTGAGCCTTTATATACTAAAGTATGTAAGTCAGAACTGTATTATTGTTAATACACTTGTCACATTTGTAAAGTAGCTATTTTGGACATTAACTTTTAAATGCAATGGCCTATAATGACTTAACAATAAAATTAATGATAAAAGTAGAGTGCGCAACTCTTTCATAACATTCACAATACGCGAAAATATTACAACTTTTTTATTCTTTTTCTTGAGAAATAAATAGAGTGCTAAAAATATAGATGAAAACTATGAAAATATATAGTTATAATAGGTAATGTTAGTTTTTATTATATTTAAGTTCGTATGACGCAAGAGGTCCTGGGGAAGGGGTACCTGGGGGGGTAGGGAGCATCATGGCCGCCACTGTCAACATGTCTCGGGTTCTCACCCGAGCAATATTCAGGCACACACTGCTCAGAAAACCTACGTCTGCTGGGTACGTCTTCCTCTCAGTGCCTGTCAGTTCTGATGAGTCTTGTTTTACCATCAGATTGTATTGAGAAACACAAGGCCATGTTAGGCACCATAAATACTCCCTGTTTTCTCTGGGCTTTCTGCTGTATAATCCTCCGGGTTTAGCGCTTCCACCTTGATTATAATAATAATAATCTGGGCTTTCTGATCATTGTATATTTTGAAGTAAACAATCTAGTCTAATGTAATCTGATATAGCCAAGTCTAACCTTACTAAGCCTCAGTTCACCTGTGATTATTAGCACTTTCCAGTGTAATTTGTTTACCTGCAGTGCTGTATGGCCCATACGGGCTGAGCGCTTTCTTTAAATAACGTGTTTACCTCTTGATGCTGGTAAAGAACTCGGGAAATAAACCTGCTCTCCTCTTCCTTGGATTGCATTTTATTCCCTCCCATTATCCAGGAGCTGTGTGACTTGAGAGTTTAGCGCTCCATGAGTGCAACAATAGTAACATGTCTTGAAGCAGCGGTCAATATGTATTTTACCCCCCAGACCCTTCAAGGGAGGTTCCTTGATGCTGGTGAGGGGCTCTTGATCTAAGAAACTGGATCTGTGCTCTAGTTCCCTGAATTGAGCCTGAATACCTCCCCCCCCCACAGGCACTGTATAATCCTATGGGTTTAGCATTTCCTCGTGATTATAATAATAATACCCCCAGACAGCACCGTCAACATTCCGCACTATCCACAGCAAACTTGTGTCCACAACACACAAACATTTATCTGTTGTGGAAATTGTTAGTAGTAAGTTTATTTAGGCACATGCACACACAAGTACAATTGTCATACCTAGGATAAACCCCAAAAAATCAAAAGTGACTTTTTTTACGTAAGTTGGTGGAAGCTTGTTCAGCTCCCAGTCAAGAGGACCTAGATAAACTCTTGATGACATGTATGGGCTCGTCTCCTTGCACCTGCTGTCCTCTTCACCCAACATAAATCGATTCCATCCCCATGTGTTAGTTGTTACAAACTCTTGTAAGTTTCATCTGTAAAGTGGTTGAGTGCCTGGCTAGGAGGGACCTGGAGAAGCAGATGGTTTCTTGAGCGCTCATTGTTGCATGTTTTAAGGTATCATAATTACCTTCTAGGGAAGTGTATTAACATTAATGGAGGGAGTGCTAAATTTGTAGGAATGATAGTGCCTGGGGGATTGGAAGGTATTCAGGCTTGATTCAAGGAATTAGAGCACAGGTCTAATTCCTTAGTTCAAGAGCCCCTCACTAGCATCAAGGAATATTCCTTGAGGTGTTTGGGAAGTACATTAGTTTTGAATATAGTAATGGTTACCATGAATACATTTGTTATTACTTGATCCTTTAATAATACAGATAGAGGCATGGTTAACAGATAGGCAGAAGAGAATTTGCATAAATGGGGAGAAATCAGAGTGGGGAAGCGTCACAAGCAGTGTTCCACAGGGGTCAGTGTTGCACCCCTTGTTGTTCACACTCTACATAAATGATATAGATGAGGGAATAAATAGCAGTATAAGCAAGTTTGCCGATGGCACCAAAATAGGCCGACGAATTCATTCTGACAAGGACATTAGAGCACTCCAGGAAGATTTGAATAGACTGATGCAGTGGTCGGAGAAGTGGCAGATGCAGTTTAATATAGACACATGCAAAGTTCTAAACATTGGACAGAAAAATAACAGTGCCACATATAGACTAAATAATGTAGTTCTTAATATTACTGAATACGAAAGGATTTAGGAGTTTGGTTAGCAGCAGTAATCTAACACTAAGACAACAATGCATAAGTGTTCGCAAGAAAGCGAACAGAATCCTTGGCTTCATATCAAGAAGCATAAACAGTAGGAGTCCTCAAGTTGTTGTTCAACTCTGTATATCGTTGGTTAGGCCTCATTTAGATTATGCTGCACAGTTTTGGTCACCACATTACAGAATGGATATAAATGGTCTGGAAAACGTACAAAGGAGGATGGCAAAGTTGATCTCGTGTATCAGAAAGCTTCCCTATGAGGATAGGCTAAGGGTCCTGAATCTGCACTCTAGAAAGGCGTAGAATTAGGGGGGGGACATGATTGAGGTGTATAAATAGAAAACAGGAATATGTAAATAAAGGGGTTGTAAATAGCGTGTTAAAATTATCTAGCCAAGACAGGACTCGCAGCTATGGCTTTAAGTTGGAAAAATTCAGATTCATAAAGGATATAGGAAAGCACTGGTTTGGTAATAGAGTTGTGGATGAGTAGAACAAACTCCTGAGTATCGTCATAGAAGCTAAAACATTGTGTAGTTTTAAAAATAGGTTAGATAAATACATGAGTGGGTATGGGTGGGTGTGAGTTGGACCTGGCTAGCTTGTCCTGCTGGGTTTAATGCCATGCTCCTTCCTTAAGTGAATGTCACCTGACCTGACTAGGTTGGGTCATTGGTTTAAGCCGGTAGGAGACTTGAACCTGCCTTGCATGGGCCAGTAGGCCTGCTGCAGTGTTTTTTCTTTCTTATGTTAATGATGGAGTTCTGTTTCTAAGACCATGTCGGTACACAAATTCGTCGCTGAGTGAGGAGCATACTATGATGGTAGTGGGTTTGTGTCGACCATCTTTAATATTGTTTTAATGTCACCTTTGCACCATTTATAACATTTCTGGTATATTTTTTAAATGTTTATACAGTAGTGCACTGTATATTATAATAAACAGAATAGAGGAAATCATTACATTGTTTAGGTATGCATACTTGTCAGAGGGCCTGTTGTCAGTAAATGAGTACATCACTAAATGAGGAGAGGCTGTATATTACGCTCCATAAGGTTGAGTTTCTTCTTTTCTTTGTAGCTTAGCTCTTACTACCAACCATTTTATTAGATTATGTACTTATAACATGTAATAATGCTAATATGAGTAGAGTACTTAAGATTATTTTTTTACAGGTGGGCATACAGAAATCATCGCTCGCTTTGTGCCACAGTAAAAACGGCAGCAGAAAGTTCACATAGAGAAAACCAAGTTCCAGAAGACCCCAGAGAAAAGCAAGCTGTAGACAATGGTGTGGATGAGAAGGTAGCAGAGTGTACAGAGGCAGAGAAGCAGCTTATGGAACAAATAGCAAGTTTATCGAAAGAAAACGAATCTTTAATAGAAAAAGTTGCAGATTATCAGGTACACTAGCCTTTTATATTATTAATAAAATTTTATATACAGGGGGGCCCCACTTATACAGCAGGTTAGGTTCTGGGCTACTGTTGTAAAGTGAAAATCACTGTAAAGTAAAACAGCCTTTTTACTTGCAAATGCATATAAAAGCCTGATAACATGTTTACACTATCATATGTTAAGTGAGCAATAGAGCTAGGCCTAAAAATGCATATACAGTACACACATTACTTTAAAATATTTTTGTCATTTTTTTTATAATGCTTTCTTTGCTTTTTTATGTATGCATACTTACCACATACAGTGGAACCTCAAATATCAAACTTTTTTCGGTCCAGAAGGCTGTTCGAGTGCCTTTACCGAATGAATTTATTCCCATCAGGAATAATGTAAATTAGATTAGTCCATTTCAGACCCTCAAAAATACACTTATAAAAAGCTTTTCCAACCTGGGGATTTAAAAATGGCCTGTTCCCCCGGTGTAAGGGACCCAAAAAAAACACAGTAGAAAAAGTTTAGACTTAAAATTACCCTTTTCCCCCTTTTTATAACAGAAATATGAACACTATTACATTGATATATAATTTGGAAACTCCACGGTAAGCAAGGCAGAAATAAATCCACAAGATAGGGGGACCTTTGCTTCAACCAGTTTTCTAGAATGGGTTTTACAAGGGCAGACAGGAGAGGGGGAAAACCCACAAAACCCTCTGCGATTGTCAACCCCCACCTTTTTAAATTGGCTAGAACCTGGTCACTAGTTGAACGAGGGGGCCCCATCATAACTCTTACAACCGGGGTTCGCGGGTTTGGGGGGAGAAAACCTTTTAAATGAGGGTGTGCCCCATGCCCCGAATAAAGGTTACTCCCCTTTTGCATGCCACACCCCCCCCCCCGAAAGGCTCGGGAAATTGGCTCCCACCTCCCAGTGGAAACCCGGGTGCCGCCAGGCCCACCAAAAATGGGACCGCCTATCCTCCCCACCCCAAACCTTTAGATAGAGTCAGTTTTCCCTGGGTGCCCCAAAACCCCCAAAACCCAAAACCAGGAGTGAGCAGCATCAGATAGGCCAACATAGGTCCAAGTAAAAGCGGACGGTACCCCATTCCCCCCCCCAAAAAAAAAACCCCCACATCGGGGGAAAAAAAAAAGAGCTTGAAAGGGGGGTTTCCCCACAAATACATCCTAACCTAAAAAAAAATATTAAACAAGACTCTTGACAAAGGTCTGCCAACAAAATTTTTTTTTGCCGGCAATGAAATTTTAATTTTTAAAATTTATAGGGTTTGCAGCCGGGAGCGTCCAACGCAAAAGCCTTGGGGTTGTGATTTTTTTCAGGTTGGAGATAAACAAACGGGTTGTAAACACTTTTAACTGTGACCCCCTGCGATGTCTGCCCCAAAAACATCGAAATGCCCCAAAAACCCATTACCACGCGAGGGTTTTTTTTAAAATTTTTAAGAAAGGGCTTTTCTGTTGTGGCGGGAATTTTGCTGAAAAGTAGCGTTTTGGTTTGCAGCTCCTTGTTCCCGTTTTGTATAGTACCCCCCCCCAACCCCCAGACCCCACAACATCAACCTTTAAGGGAAAAAGGGTTTTGGGAAAAAAGTCTGGAGACAGGAGAATGGGGCGGGAGCACAAAAAACTTTTTGTTTTATTAAAAAAGCATTTTTTACAATCTGACTTCCCAATTAAAGGGAATTTTAAATGACTGGAAAGGAGGAAGGGGTTTAAAATATTAAAAAATTTTTACAAAAATTTTCTTTTAAAACCCTATAAACCCTAAAAAAACTTTTAAAGGGAGTTTTCCCATATGGGAAAACTGGAAAATTTTTAAATTTCGAAAAAAACTTTAGCAATTTGGGTTTTGCAACATTCCCAATACCTCTTCAGGGCCTAGAAAAGTGATAGTGGCGGGCCCAAAAGGGAAGTTTTAAGTTTAAATTAACTTTTAAATTTGGGGGAATTTCTTAAAGGTCTAAAACAGAGCTTTAAGTCAAAGTGGGGTGTTTGATCCCCAAGAAATTCAGACACCACAAAAAATATCATCTGGGAAATGCCCCCGGGCCTTCAAGCCCCTTTAATAGCCTGATGGATGAGTTTTCTGGAATGAAAAGGGGGGAATTTTTTCTTTCCCCGAAGGGGGTAACGTATATTTGATAATGACCCCTGGAATCCGAAGGCAGAGTTTCCTTCCCCTTTAAACTTTCAAATTTTCCTGATAAAAACCTTTAAGGGATCAAATTTTTGGACAAAAAAGTACCCTTTTACCCACAAAGTCAATTACTCTCCAGACAAAGGAAAGAGGGTAAGCATCTGTGATTGTGACCTCGTTCACTTTAGGGTATTTCCTGTGCACATACAAAACCCTCCATCCCCCCTTTTTTACTGGGACCCACGGTGAACCCCATGGACTAAATGATCCCCACAAACCATGTTCTAAAAAAGGGAAGTCTACTTCCTGCTGAAGTAGCCTTTGTTTTTTTCGGTTTAGCTCTGTAGGGGGAGATTTTTAATTGGTTTAGATTTTCCCACATCTACATCATGGTAACCTAACGTACTTTTTTTTTCGGCCCACCAAAAAAAAAATTAGGTTTAAGCGTAGAACCAGAAAAAAATTTGGGTTTGCTTGTATTTCAGATAACCATCCATTAACGGGTTTGGGATCCTTGAGGGGGGACAGAATTTAAAAATTTTTAGTATTAATTTAAAGAGATAAAAGGTGCAAAGAGTCAAAGTGTCCTCAGGGGGGAAAGAGGACAGAGTCATTACGGGACTTTATCTGGTGTATAAAAGGGCCTTGTTTTGTTTAATGTGGAAAGGGTTTTTTTTTTTGGGGGGTTCCTTATAAAAGGGAGCTCCCACAAAATTTTAAAATCAATAACAACTTACTATCTGCAAAATTTCCCTTAAATTAGCTTTAAAGGGTTTGTGGCCAGGTATAGGTTCCTGAAAACCAACACCTTGTTTTCCCTGGATGGAAGGAGCGGAATTGTGCACTTTTGTCATCCTCTTTTTTCATTTTAAATTTTGGGAGCTATTTTTTGGGTTTAAAACCGGGAAAATCACTTGCCCCCCTTCAACCTTAAAGGGAGGGGTTTGGGAGTGCGAGCTTACTCTTTTCCCATCCACCCTTCTTTAAAGCACCCGAAGAGGACCCCCTTTACATTGTCCCAAAGATCAGCCCCAAACGGAACTATCCCCTGAAAGACTCGGCACCGTCTCTCTACGGGAGAACAGAAAAAAAACAAGGGTTAGAGTTTCACCCCAAATTCTGTGGAAAGTGCATGAAAAAAAAAAAACTTTTTCTTTCATTGTTTTAATTTTTGGGGGGGAATTTTTTTAAAGGGCGCCTTGGGACTGAGGGTGATAGGCATTGGATAAGTTGGAATTACCCCAAAACCTATTTAAATATTTCCCAAAATTTCTTTGGCAGTGAATTTATCCCTTTGATCACTTTGTAAAAGGTTTTAGGAAAGGCCAAACAAGAAATGAATTTTGTTAAAGCTTTGGAATAGTTTTTTTTTGAAATTTGATATACGGCTTTGGGGATCGCTTCAGGATATCTGGTTACTTTATCCATAATTGAAATTTAAATACTGTTTTCCCCCAGACTTTGACTTGGTTTTTTAGTGGACCTACAAAAACCTATAATTAAATCTGCAAAAGGTTCTCCATCAGCAGGTATTTTTTTGGAGAGGTGCATTTTTTAATGGAATGTCCGGGTTTTTCCCAAACTTGCTGACATTCTGGGCAACACCTAATATGAAATTTTTCACATCTTTCTTTTAATTTTTGGGCCAAAAAAAATTCTTTTGTGATTCTATACAAAGGTTTTTTTTAATTTTCCCAAAATGACCTCCCCGATGACGTTAAATTTTGAGCTTTATTTAATATTGAGGGCTATTTCTTGGGGTTTGGGAACCCCTAACCCGGCGTAATAATTGCCGGCCCCCTTTCCCCCTTAACCCTCTCAGTGCAAAAACCCAAAAAAACATTTTTAACTTTTATACTTACGGGTGACCCCAAGAGGATTTACCCTTTGGGTTTCCCAAAAAACGAATTTTAAAGAAGGGGGCCTTTCGTTGTTTTTCCCCCCCAAAGGGCAGTCCCTCGGGGAAGGGGGAAAAAGAAATCTGGCAAAACCGCAAACCGGGAATAGGAACTTGTCGGGGGGTTTTTCACCCTTTATTTAAAGACTTTCCGGGCCGGGGTTTTCTCATAAAACAACGGGCTATTCCGGGGATCGGAGTCGTCCCAAAGGGTTAAGGGCAACCCTTCTCCCCAAACAACCCCCTTTGGGGTGTTGCCCGAGTTATGGGCCCAAAACTGGAGAAGCCTTAAAACATTATAGGTTCAGGAAAACCAAGTAACAGTATAATTTTAAATTTCCCAGTTAAAAACATGGCATTTTTCAAAGGGGGAAAAAATTTTGAGATACCACAGTCAATTTCCCGTTAATATTTGCCCCTGTACTAAAATTTTTTGAAAGGAACTGAATATATAGCTCCTCCCTGGCTTCCAATAAAACTGAGGGGAATTTTAAGGAAATATTCTCTGAAAGGGGGTAATATTCCCTTTTCTGACAAAAGGTTTTAGCAATATGCTCCCGTATTTTCTAAAGGTATTTTTTTTTAGTTGGTTCTGGTTTTTCCCGAAGGGAAATAAGAATTTTGCCCCAAAAATAAGGGGCCATTAAAACCTTTTTTTTACTTCTCTAGGGGGCATGTTTCCCAGGGTATTAGAGATTTTTTCCCCATGGGGTTTTTTAGGTTTTTTTGGGGGAGTTTTTGGGAAAGATGTGACCTACTTTTTTTGACCCTTTAAAACAGAAAGAAAAGGGGTTTTCCCTTTTCTCCCCGAAGGCGTTGCAAGTGGTGTTTGTTTTGGCTGGGGCCTTTTCCCGGATATTGTTTTCGAGATGCCCATAAGTAGTTTGCCCTTTTCCCCGGGGGGGCCATATGTTTAGAAACGTGGGGTCACCAGGTACTTGGTTGGGTGACGTAGACCCTCTCCCTCCGGCTGGCACTTCATTCTCCCAAAAGTTTCCATCTCTGCTCAAAGCCAGGGTGTTGAAAAGAGAGCGGACCGGGTCGGACAAGGGGGCCCTTTTTTTCGAAGGGGTTTCAGCCAAACCTGGCCGCCTCCAAAAGCAAATGGTTTTTAAATCACATCCCCGCAGGGGAAAACACAACCCCTGGTCCCACAGGGCTCCACAAGGGTTAAACAATCAAATAAGCTGCACCAAACTCCTCAAAGTTTTGAGACAAACCCCTCGCTTTAATAACCAGCTGGTAAAAACTTTGGTTTTCTGTTTCACAAAGTCCACCGGGATTGACCAAGCTGGGCCCCCTGTTTAAATTTGAAGGTCTTCGATATTTAGCTGGGAATTAAAAAAGTATATGCTCCCAAAACCCGTGTCTTTTACTACTTGATTTAAACAAGAATTCAGCGTCATTAATACCCCACGTAAATTCCCCGTGCCTTACCCAATAAAAAATGTATGAACCAACGCTGCCCTTTCTGTTCCGGCCACCTCAAGGCTCGGGCCTGATTTTTTGAAGCTTTCGAAAAATTGCTCTGGTTTTGGGCCCCATTGAAGCGGGGAAAAAAAAAGGGTCCCGCTTTTTGTAAAAATTTTTAAAAAATTTTGTTTACAGAATGGGGAAAAACTGCCTCCCTTTTTCTTTCCCTATCAAAATTCTTTCCCCCTTTCGAATTTCTCTCTGTTCCCTATTTTTCCCAGCGTGATTTTTTCCAGCTCATTTGCCAAAAGAAGCTGATTTACCCCCGGGGAAACCCGCTGCACCCATATACCCCTTTTGGGTCCGTAGGGTATCATCTTCCTCATGCGAGAAATAAGATTTTTTCCCAGCTCCCGTAGAGGGAGGAGTTTGATGTGCCTCTCTTCTTCAATAAGTATGCAGAATAAAAGGGGAAAGCAGTTTCGCAGCTTTTGAGAGTGCGTTTAAAGGGAAAGCCAATGGAACGGGCAATTTGCCAACAACGCTGAAAGGGGCAATTTAAAGGAAAGGTTTTGCAAAGTAAAAATGCCGACACCAGGGGGTCGACTCGTCTAGGTGGGATAAGTTATTGTATGCCAAATACGAATACCCCAACGTAACCCCGTTAATTTGCAGGAAAACGTTAGCCCATGACATTCCCATTTCAGAAAAACCCCCAAACAAGCAAAACCGACTGCACACAAGATTTACCTTAAACGAAGCGAACACAAGAAACCCAACTAAATAGCGAGCTGTTTTAAACGATCACACAATAGCAAAGGGTGGGTCATAAGGGAACGACCCCGCAAAATTTTTAAAGCGAAGCGAAACAGCAAGCTACACAATGTTTCCTGCTACAACTTTTCCCCCAAGTCAAAACCCTTTTTCTAAGTCCAGCTTCCCCGGGCAGGCCCCCATATTTTCAACCTAGGGTTTTAAATGGCCTGTTTTTCCCGGTGTAATGGGACAAATAACACAGTTAAAAAGTTTAGGGCTTATATTATCCTTTTACCCAAATTTTTAAAAACCCAAAATGTTTAAAATATGTACAGTAAAAAATAGTGCACTCCCCGGTAAAACAAGGGGAGAAAAAGAAGCCACAAGATAGGCCCGACCGTGCTTTTAACCCTCTAAAAGGGAATGACAAGGGCAGACCCGGGGAGCGGTAAACCACATAAAACCCCTGCGATTTCAATCCCACCTTCCCTTTTTGGCTAAACCTTTGGTTTATAGGTTTAAAAAATGGGGCCCCCCTCATCAAATCTTAGCAAACCCGGTTTGTGGTTTTGGGGGGGATAGCCTGGAAATGAGGGTGTGTCCCTTGGGGCCGAATAAAGGTTAAAGGACTCTTTTTTCCCTGCCACAAAGCACTTACAAAAATACACTTACATAATTGGCTGTGTTTTGGGGGCAGTTCGATTTTTTAGGGTTTCCCCAGTACAAGCTGGAAAAATTATGATGAAGAGGTTTTTAAGAAGGTCTGACACTTAAAGGTCTACTGTAATGTATCTTGTATTAAAACCCATACTAGGTATTGCAGAAGAAATCATTGTCTAATCAAATTATCTTGTGATTCATTGTATTTACTGATTTTCTCACAACACATGATGCTTGTGCTTGTTCCATTTTAAATACCTTTTTCATTTATGCAGTTTGTACATTCAAACTCCCATAACTTCAACTTGCTCGTGTACCTATAGTTATGTTTAATTTAGTAGCTACTTCATTAACCCTTTCAGGGTTTTGGCCATACTAGTACGGCTTACACACCAGGGTCCTTGACGTACTAGTACTCAAAAATTCTAGCACCTTCAAATCTAGTGAGAGAAAGCTGGTAGGCCTACATATGAAAGAATGGGTCTATGTGGTCAGTGTGCGCAGTATAAAAAAAGTCCTGCAGCACACAGTGCGTAATGAGAAAAAAAAAACTTTGACCGTGTTTTTGGATTAAAAACAGCGATTTTGCACTGTATTTTCGTATGGTATTTATTGTTGTATTCTAGTTTTCCTGGTCTCATTGTAAAGAATGGAAGACATATTACAGAAATTGAGATGATTTTGACTGGTTTTACAATGAAAAGTACCTTGAAATTGAGCTCAGAGTAGCAGAAATGTTCGATTTTTACCAGGGTTTAAAAGTAAATAAATCATGTCTAAGCGTCTAAAACACGTCAACTGGTGAGTCTAATATTCTTTCACAAGTACGTCAATATTATTTATACCATTTCTACACTAATGCAGTAGTCTGCATATTAGTAAATCTTTTTTTTTGTGAGAATAAAAATTCAAAATGGAAAGCAAAAAAATGTAAGAGGGGAGTCGCGACGTGACTAAATAAACAGAGGAAATGTTATTTTAGTGCCAGGAATGTCTTTTTTGTTTTATTTCTGGACCCTATTTGGAAATTGGCATATTTTGAAATTTGTGTGAAATTGGCAAAATTGCTAAATTCTGACCACTGTATTGGATAGTTGAAATCGGTAAATTGGTGGTTTCTTGTACTCATTCGATAGAAAAAATGGAGTTCTAGCGAAATAGTTATGATTTTTGTCGACTAGTACATTGGAATTGGCTGAAAATAAGGCTCAAAGTGGGCAAAATTGCCAATGCGTAAACATCGTCGAGACCACTAACTTCGACAGAGCATAATTCTATAAGTTTTCTATCAAATTTCATACTTTTGGTGTCATTATGACCTGGAGTTTACCTGAAGAGAGTTTCGGGGTCAACGCCCCCGCGGCCCGGTCTGTGACCAGGCCTCCTGGTGGATCAGCGCCTGATCAACCAGGCTTTTTGCTGCTGGCTGCACGCAAACCAATGTACGAGCCACAGCCCGCTGATCAGGAACTGACTGAAAAGATTCTCTATCTTTTCATAAGTTTTTTTTTTTTTTTTTTTTTTAAAATTTTGGGGGGACCCTGAGAACAAGTCTCTGAGAGGGCCCGTGGACCCTGAAAGAGTTAATGATGATAATGCTTTGATTTTGTGTATATTTTATTCACTCAGTTCAAACTAAATATGCTTGGTAATGTCTTCATTTCTTTTTTTTTTTTCAGGACAAATATCAACGAACCTTAGCTGATCGTGAAAATCTCAGAAATCGTTTGGAGAAACAGATTGTTGAAGCTAAACAGTTTGGTATTCAAGGATTCTGTAAAGATCTTCTGGAGTGAGGCACAAGAAGGGTGAAAGAGATTTTAATTAAATTCTGTGTAATTAATGAAAATGTTACTATGTAAGACAATTGTAAAAATCTAAACTTATGTAATGTATTGGAATAAGCTTACTTCATTGTCAGAAATATACAATCTGAAGAGATAATTGAGGAAAAATTATGTACTAAAGATTCTCAAAATGGAACACAAAAGTATGTAATTAATGCTCTTCACTACTGAATGTTAATTTTTTAACACACTGACTGTGTTCCCCCAAAGTAGGGTGACCCAGAGAGAAGGGAAACTTGTTAATTGTCATTCACTCAATCATAATTCGTTCAGTGAAAGAATGAACGATTGTATAAATATGGTAATAGTTGGTTAAGGGGGATTCACTGTGAGGTGGAAATCTTCTATAATACTCGCATATTTTTTTTTTATCTCCGTTTGGATTGATTTATGCGTTGATGGATGTTGATTATACGTATTTGGATATTTATATATGTTTATGGTCATTTTTTCATTTTGCTGTGGAACTGTTGCCAGTTTAAGAAAACTGACTGTTACAGAATATGTGTGGAGGTAGATATCTCAGCATTGATTACTCGTCTTATGTTCACAGATGATAAGTTCATTAATTAAATTCTTTCAACAAACTGGCCATATCCCACTGAAGTAGGGTGGCCCAGAAAGAAAAACAAAAGTTTCTCTTTTAACTTTAGTAATGTATATAGGAGAAGGGGGTTACTAGCCCCTTGCTCCCGGCATTTTAGTCGCCTCTTACAACACACACGGCTGACGGAGAAAAATTCTTTTCCCACCCCCATGGAGAAGAAATAAAAAGAACAAGAATTAGTAAAAAAAGAAAAAACCCAGAGGGTGGTTTATAGCTTGTAATGCATGGTATGTGACCTAAGTGTAAGCAGAAGTACAAAAACCCCCAAATCTTGCATGTTTATTTTTTTTTTTTTAAACAAACCGCCTACCCAAAACCCCAGGGGCAGGGGGCCCAAAAAAAAAACAAAATTTTCCCTTTTTTTAAATTTTTAGTAATTTATACAGGAAAAGGGTTACTACCCCTTGCCCCGGCATTTTAGTCGCCTTTTAAAAACACACACGGCGACAAGGAAAAATTTCTTTTCCATTTTCCCCAGGGAGAAAGAGGAAATAAACAAGAACAAAACTAAAAAGAAAATAGCAGAAAACCCAGAGGGTGTGTAATATATGCTTTATATGAGTGTAGTGGACCTAAAAAAAGTAAAGAGCAAGACGTACCTGAAATCTTGCATTTTAAAAGAGACAAAAAAAGTACCCCAGCAATCCTACCATCAGTAAAAAAATTACAGGGTTTTGCCCCTTACACTCACTTGGGGTAGAAGGTAGTACCTCCCGGGCAGTTGCAAACACCAATCACTTTCTAGGATTAAAAATTTTGTTACTGTGGACCCTCTTTTATTGGCCGTAACCGTTTCTCATAAGAATTAATGTAAATTCAATTAACCCGTTTCCAGACAAAAATTTTCCCCAAAAATAATTTTTTAATATTAAATCAGATTACTACTTTAGAAAGCTAATGCTGGTTTTCTGAAAAGCCTGCTACATTTCCTGCATTCTGCTCACTCCCAGCATGCCGCTACAACCCCCGCATGCCGTTACACCCCGCATCCCTGTTACACCCCTGCATGCCTTTGCACTCCAGATGCCTGCACACCCCTTCATCCTTTACACTTTCCTGCATGCCTGCACACTCCCACATGCCTGTTACACCCCCTGCTACCTGTTACACCCCTTCATGCCTGTTACATTTCCCTAGATGCCTGCTACACTCCTTGCATGCCTGTTACACTTCCTCATGCCTGCACACTCCCTGCTCCCTTTTACCCCCCTCATCCCTGCTAACTCCCTGAAATGCCTGCTCACTCCCTGAATCCTGCACATTGAGTTACCTCCCTGCATGCCTGTTACACTTCCTCATCCTGCTACACCCCAGCATCCTGTTTACACTCCCCATACCTGTTACATTTCCTTTGCATGCCTGTTACACTTCCAGAGCCTCTACACTCCTTGCATCCTGTTAACTTCCTGCATGCCTGCTAACACCCCAGCATGCCTGTTTAACTCCCTGCATACCGTTACACTCCTTGATGCCTGTTACACTTCCTATATCCTGCTACACTCCTTCATGCCTGTTCCCTTTCCCTGCATACCTTTACACCCCCTTGCGCCTGTTACCTTCCTATAGCCTGCTACACTCCCTGCATGCCGCTACACTCCCTGCATGCCTCTACACTCCCTGCATGCCTGCTACACTCCCGCATGCCTACAACCCCCCCTGCTCCTACTACATTTTCTGCATCCTGCTACCTCCCTTCATGCCTGCACACCCCCTGCAGCCTGCAAACACCCCTGCATGCCTGCTAATCCCTGCAGGCCGCACACCCCCCTGCATGCCTGCCCCTCCCGCATCCCTGCTACCCCCCCTGCACCCTGCTACACTCCCTGCACCCCTACTACACCCCCTCATGCCTACTAACTTTCTCATGCCTGCTAACTCCCCATGTCTTTACACTTCCTGCAGCCTGCTACACTCCCTGCATGTCTGTTACACTTCCTGCATGCTGCTACACACCCTGCTGCCTACTCATTTCCGCATGCCTGTTACATTTCCTGCATGTCGCTACACCCCCTTCATGCCTGACCTCCCTCAGCCTCCCACTCCCGCATGCCTCTAACTCCCGCAGCCGCTAACCCCTGCATGCCTGCTACACTCCTCCCTTCCTGCTACACTTCCACGTTTAAAATTTCCAGGGTGTTTCTCTCTTTACACAGAAATTTAAAAACGAGGAACTTTTTTTTGGACCATGGTTACTTATTTCGCAGTTGCACTACAAAAAACCCACAAAAAAAAAAAAGGGAAAACAACGAAAGTTTGGATGTATAAGCAAAGCTTCTTAAAGCACCGAAAGCCCACACCAAAACTACGCCAAGGGGCCCCCCGGTGGACGGATGCGCCAAAAGGGCGATCACGAAAAACGGCGATAAATTGGGAGCCAAAAAAGGGCCAATCACCAATTTGGCCGATGAGAGGAACGGCCGATAACCGGGGTCCACTGTTTTTGAAATTTATGCTTTGTAATTCAATTATTTTTAGTTTCTGTATTTCATTAAAAAAATCTAGAATTTATCATACTGTAGTGCTCATGTTAGAATAAAAATACAGTTTTGGACAATTGTAATTAGTTTCTAATGCCCTTTTGCCTTTGCTAGGCATAAATTTATTTGGGCTAGTTTTCGTTATTTAAAGGGTTTTAGTGCAAAATCAAAGCTTATTCTTTAAAACAGTGATATTTGATCGTTTTTGGCTATCTCAAAGAGTGAAGTAACTGCTGATATTAAAATTTACTGTATGTAACAGCTATACATTGTATCAAAGGGCCAAAAACCCTTTCATGGTACAGCATGTGAAGTGTATTATGGAGTTTGTTTTGTGTTTCTAATTTATTTTTCTAAAAAACCTTTTGTTAAAATTATGGTATTGCTTTTTTCCCCAGAAGTATGCCACACAGTTTGAAAAACCTGTCCGCAATGCGGGACGACTTCCCACATTCAGGACTCACCCCGGCAAACCATTTACCCTTTTTAATAACACATTTTTTGCTGATGGGAATTGAAATCCAATATTTATGCCATTTTCATTTAATCATTATTATCAAAATTTAATAAGCATTTTCTTTCTCAAAAAATCTAAATTAGTTTTTCACTTTAATATTCTGTTTTTTCCCCAGGTAACCGATGTGTTTTCATAAAAAATTTGAGATTTTCCCGGGCTGAGAAAATAAAAAAGGGAAAATTCTGATTTTTAAGAATTTTTGATGATGGTTTATAATGCAGAAACCAGCTATTAACTTGAGTATTTTCTGTTACCCTTGAAGCTCCATCTTTTCAAAATTTGGAAACATTTTTTTAGCCATTTTTTATTTTCATTGCCAGTGGTACCTGTACTATATTACAGCTTCTTATCGGAAATGGCCTTTTGTCAAATTTATTTATAGTTTTGTACATAATATAAGTTCTAAAAAGGGGGACCTTTTTTTTTCCACTTTAAACAACTTTTTTTAATATTAAAAAACGTAAAAAATTTTTGGGAAAAAAGGGCAGAACTTGCATAACACTTATGTAATTTTTAATCTTTATACATCATATCTAAAAAATCGAATTTTTTGAGAAATTGAGGGTTTTGCTTTTCAACTACTTATGTTAGGGTAATGTTTAAGGGTTTTGCATTTTGATACATACTAAGGAAAAACATGACTACTGGCTTGCTTTGTTTACCCCACTCAAATGCTCTCCCTTAATTGAAGAAAAGAAAAGGGAAATTAATGTTTTAAAGAGAGTGCCATAGAATAGTCATGGTGCAAAAAATTTTGCACTATGAAGGAATTTTTAAAAAAAGGTGAATACACTACTGTTCCCCTACTAAAAATAAATTATGTCGGAACATATACTTTTTTTCAAATTTCATATTTGAAAAAAATTGAACAAGAATTGCTTAAAATTTATCAGTTGCCCAAATTTTATACTTAAACATGGTTTCTATTGAATTTTGTTTTCGGTGGTTTTTTTGTCATCCCTATCTAAGTGCCCACAAAAATGCCCTGACTGCCCTTTTTATTACAGAAATTGCAAAAGCAACATGTAAATGTAGAAAAAACACTAATACTTGCTGCCCCCCCCCCTTGACCTTGGGGTGACCACTTAAAAATTTTTTTGGGAAACCCTTTTTCACCATTTCCTGAAGTAAAAATGGATGACTTGGTGACCCATCTCCGGGCGGGCATGATATCATAAAATGTGCCTGGATTCCGCTTTTTTTTAGATATTCCAGGCATTCTAAATATTTTTTTTTAGCAAGCCATTTTATTTTCTTTTGGGGCCTTTTTGCAAGGATGCTAAATGCATAAAAGGGTACACCCTTCCCATTCGTATTACATAAATCTTTTTTCTATTTTTTAGAACTCATATGGTTCAAAGAAT